AGTAGTGAGTTAACTGAGAAGTGTTCTGTTTAACAATGGCATAATATTCATATCGTGAGTAGGGAGATGTGAGTTTTTCATAAGGCCGCGGGAATGGTAATGGACGCGATGATGCATGGCTGTATCAGGTTGCGTTTCCTGACCGAAGGTAGGCGCACGTTACTGAGACAGTATCCATGGCACCAGAAAATATGGATCGACGAAGACCGATAATATAACTTAATAAAGCTTAATAACTCAAAAAACGAAGAATTTTCCAACATATATATATATATATATATATATATATATATATATATATATATATATATATATATATATATATATGTATGTATATATATATATATATATATATATATATATGTAGATTTTTCTCCTTTTGGTTTAAGAAACCACCTCCAAAGTTTGTATAAGTATTTTTGATATACGATATATATATATATATATATATATATATATATATATATATATATATATATATATACCAGTAGCGACTCCTAGGTCGTCAATGTTTGTCGGGCTCATTACAATCTTTAACAAAATATGCTATTGGTATAACTACTGGTATGCTAAAATGATTCCTTTACTCTAACTAGAATATACAATTTTTTAAAATCTCTCTGCATGAAATTAAAAAAAAAACATTTTGGTATTTTAATATTAATTGTAATAATTCTATAAAAATATACATTTTTCCAGACATGTAAGAAAAAAGAGTAAAAAAGAGTCTTTGATATGTTTGTCTGTTTATTGCCCTCTTTCCTTTTTTTATTCTTTTATAGTCTGGTTATCAAGTCATTGATGGTAGAGATAGTAACAGTTAACTGATATCATATCTCCTCAACACTACCCTGGTCACACTCCTCACCCCAACCCTCCAGTCGACGAGTTAAAGCTGCTACTTTCTTTGATTTTCGCCGAATTTAAGTCGGGCTAAATTTAATTTGTCTTTTCCCAAAAGATACATTGCACTAAAAAAATCTTATGGTGCACGGAAATAATTAATTTAAAATGTACATTTAAAAACAATAAGTTGAAATAAAAATGTGTTCTTTGAAAAACAGGATATACAAGTCACTAGAGATTTTTAAAATATTATTTATAAAATTAAAGCAAGAAATACATTGCCTATTAATTATGTCTCCAGCTTGAAAGAGCTCAGATCAACGCAGCCCAACTAGATACGTTAATATTGTTTCATTCTCTTTTTAATTACTTTCTTTTTCTTTCTTTCTTTCTTGTGAACAATAGCAACAAAATGTATTTCGGTCAATATTTCGAGGCACGGAGTTTTTGGATCCAGCTGAAAACGACGCACTATTAAAGATTTTTGTCGATTTGAAATAGTTATATTTGAATGTTGACTGACACGGACTGATCCCGACAAGCCCGGCCCTCGCAGTCTCCAATGATATATATATATATATATATATATATATATATATATATATGCAGTGTAACCCGGATATAAGAGAAATCCGGATATAAGAGAGATTTTCTCTGGTCCCAAATTAGTGCCTGTGTTAATGTATATAAAATAGACCAAACCCGGATATAAGAGAAACCCGGATATAAGAGACTTCTTCTCCGGTCATATATGACAAAGGGGAAAAAAATTTTGTTGTGGCGCGTTTCGTCCTTCAGGACTTCATCATTCGTCGGAATTTGTTGGTGCGAACGAGGGATCCTGGGAATTTTAATTTCTAAAATTTAATTTTTTTTATCTTTTGTAAGGTGGTATTCCATACTGTGAATACTAACCCTAACCTGCCCGGAATGGTGAATTGTTATAAAAGCCAGGGCGCAAATTTGTTGTAGATAACCTTGCCATCAAGGCACTCTATACATTTATATCGAAGTGAATTGTTTTCTCCTTTAATCAGAGTAGCAATTTTTTTTTTAGCATTGTGGTCAGTCTCGTTATGATTCGCAACCAAAGGACGAGATGCACCGCAAGAAAACCTTTTCCATTTTGTCAGACATTTTTCCCAATAGTGTTCTTGATATATAAAAATATTTACCGTTAACTTATATATATATATATATCTATATATATATATATATAGATAGATAGATAGATATTGAATAAAAAGCTTAATCGTAGTACCTTGTCAATCATCTTTAATGAAACTTGTACACACACACACACACACACACACACACACACACACACATATATATATATATATATATATAGATAGATATTTTAAGTAATTCATCGAGTCTAGAAGAAACCTCAACAGAATGCAGACAGCACTGGACGCCCGTTTCATCCTATATTTGGGACTCATCAGCAGTGCGCATCCAGTTCCGAGAACTGAAACCCGAACAGTTACATTGACTGGCAAACGTCACACCAACGGAACTAACGGGCCTCGGTGACGAATGGGTAGCGAACTAGACTCGATATCGCGCCGCTCATTCACAAATTCCGTGGTGGAACTCATCCAAGGTTTTTTTACACATAGTGCCCCCTAGAGCCTCGACTACTATCCCCAAGCCTTCTAGACTCGATGAATTGCTTAATTATCTGAAATGCTCCTTAATTTCTATCATATATATATATATATATATAAGTTACGAAGAACTTGGTAAACCGAATGGATAATTCCAAGGAGGATGAAATCCTGAGAGCTCAATGTGATTACAGAGCTAATATTTAATGAAAAAAACAGACCACTTTAATGTACCATTACAATAATTTATTTCACCAAAATCCTTTTTGAAGGACTCCGGATCATCAAGTAACACTTCCAACAACGGAATGAAAGGAAAAATGTGATTAGAAATTGATGGGTAGTGTAATTTTTGTAATTTAACAGGGAGGGAGATAGTTGTAGTTAATGAGACAAGGTAGAGTATAGGGAGGGTTTAATTTCATATTTCTCTTAAGCATGTTTTATATTGGGGTAGGAGGAGTGACCTATTTATATAGTTAACTTAACGGAAATGATATATAGGAATGGGAGGGTAGTTGGGGGGGAGAAAGAAAAGGAAAAATGGAAAGGAGAAAGGAGATAGGCAACAGTAATACAGATATATCTAAAAGAGTGTTACGGCAAAGAGAGAGGGGGAGAGGGAAGTTAATCGAAAAGGCAGTAATTTTGTTTTAACAAAATTATGTAAAAGATAGATTTCAATGCTTGATAGAAATTATATATATATATATATATATATATATATATATATATATATATATATATATATATAAGCTATCTTTAGGCAGCATTTATCCATCCTTATAAATATGATTAGAAAGAACCAAGATCCTTCTGTTTAATATTTTATTAATTTTACCAATTTTTGGATAAGATGTTGAGTCTTGTGGTTGAAGTGGTGCATTAATTGCCGAAGTCCACATTTTATTTTGTTACTTTTGTTCAATGTCTTTCCACTTTTGTAGTCATTATCAAGGACATTACATTTCCAACACTAATAATAATAAAAAAACAACATTAAATAATTATATTGGGTACACATGCACCACACTCTCTCGCAGATTTACCTGTCACCTATCGAAACTTTGTGCAACCCATGCACACATCGACCAGCACAATATGAACGAGCAAACCAAAATACCCTGCAGCACCCAATGCAAGGAAATCTTCCAAATTCTAGAAGCGGTTATTATACAAAATAAAACAGCCCATAATTAATAAAATCTACCACAGAAGATGTTACTTTGAAGTGCATATGATATAATTGATGGGCACATATATTTTATCAGTGTTACAATAATAAAAACAATTATATAGAAATTTAAAAGAAATTAATAAATAAATAAAACTATATTTGTGCGGCCTCGTTCCCAGAAGCCATTAGACTTGATGGCTTCCTGGACTAATTTAAACATAAAGCGACTCAAACATGCAACTAACAAAATGGTTTTTGCAGAAATAATAAGAAATATACATTAATAATTGTCCGAGAATGTGAAAGGATCCAAATGAAAATAAGCAGACAAAAATGAAACATGTCTCAATATATATATATATATATATATATATATATATATATATATATATATACCTCATGTTGACGTAATTTTGCTTTTTGGTAAAATATATATATGCTCTGTTATAATAAATACATTGAGCTCTCTGTGGATCAGTTTTATTTGTTCTTACTAGGATCTACTTGGATTATATACCAACGAAATATATATATATATATATATATATATATATATATATATATGATTCCAACTCGCGACATAAGAGGTCTCATGTTTCAAAACAACAGCCGAAAACTTCAATATAATTAATTTCCTTCCTATTTTCTATATACTTTCACACACACACACACACACACACACATATATATATATATATATATATATATATATATATATATATATATATATACCCTCTGGCATTAGTAAAAGAGTACTAATGCTAAATAACAGATCTATTGAGGATATATTGATAAATAGTTAGCCCTTTGGTTTTACATCTGTTTACCAACAGCATTCGTAAATGTAATTTTTAAAACTGAAATTAAAATTTCTAACTTTTAATTTTCAACTTTAAATGCAAGTTTGAACCTTTAAATTTAAATTACAAATTTACATTATTATATATATATATATATATATATATATATATATATATATATATATATATATATTCATAAGTGAACACTTGCACGTGCATTCATTTATATTCAGTTATTTGATTTTATATATATATATATATATGTGTGTGTGTGTGTCTGTGTGTGTGTGCATATACATCGAAATTCGACAGATTGATATGATTTTAAATGAAATGTTTATCAATCTAACGTGTTTCACTATAAGTGTGAAACATGTTAGATTGATAAACGTTTCTTATTTGTTCTTTATCTGATAAAAGATATATTTGAGGTTTTGACATTGTTGTCTTCTCGACGGGAAATTTGGCAAAAGAAAAAGCGACGTGCCGAGTATGTCCTTCTACGGATTGAATATATGAATTCACACAAAGCTTTCATGTCTCACGGTTCTACTCTTTGGTTAGGACATGAGCTTTTATGACATTCACTCTCCGTATCACTCACTCTCTCTGCTTGCCTTTATCACTCACTCACTCATTCATTCATTCTCTGTCTGTTTCTCCCTCTCTCTCTCTCTCTTACTCTGTCTGCACGCCTCTCTCTATCATTTACCGCAACTTTCTATCTCTATGTATCTCCCTCCCTCTCTCTCTCTCTCTCTGTGCCCTTCTTTCACTCTCGCTGCTTGCCTCATTCTCTCTCTTTCTGCCAAATCTCTTTGTTTGCCCCTCTCTGACACTCCCGCTCCTCTTTTCCTCTCTGTCTCTCTATCTCTGCGTTTTTCTATCTATTACCGCCTGCCCCTTTCTCTCCTCTTTTCTCTCTCTCTCTCTTTTCCGTGCCCCTTTATGCCTTTGTACCCTTTTCCCACTCTCGCTGCTTGCCTCTCTTTCACTATCTTTCTCTGTCCCCTCTCTCTCTCGCTCTGCCTCTCCCCACCCTTTTCTCTCTATCTCTTTCTATCTTTGCCTCTTTCTCACTCTCTTTCTCTCTGTCCCATTCTCTATCTCTATCACTTTCTCTCTCTCTCTGTCTCTTTTTCACTCTTCCTTTCTCTCTCTCTCTCTCTTTCTCTCTCTCTGTACTCCTTACTCACTTTCGCTATCTTTCGGGCCCTTTCACTCTGCTTGCCTCTATCTCTCACTCACCACTACTTTCTCTCTGTCTGTCCTTTACTGTCTCTTTCTCTCTGCCCCTTTCTATTTCTTTGTTCATTCTCAATCTCTTTCCCCCACATCTCCCTCTCTCTTCCTCTCTCTCTCTCTCTCTCACACTGTTGTTTCCTGGTTGTATTTTCCCCGACTCTATTTTCGAAGTATACTCCCCCCACTTTTCTTTTTGTATTTTTCGGAGGAGTTCATTTCCCCCCTAAACGATGGTTTATCACCAGACCGCTTTTCTTAAAATGCGACTCAAAATCCCTTCATTTGAAGAATCTATAATTCTTTCATAATAATCTTGGAAACATCTGATCACGCTCAACCCTGTGCAAATATAGTCTAACAACTCAGTTTTAACACCCAGAAAGCTATCCGAAACTATGAAATATTCATTAATATCCTCGGTTAATCTAAATTTAGGATAAAAAGATTTTATTTTAATTTGAAGGAAAATATACGTAACCTAGAAGAATTTATCAGTAAGTTTCCATATGAAATTTCCTGAATATTAACCTTGAAGTTTGAAAATTTAAGTGATTTCGACAGTGAAGACCTCAGAGAAAACGCAGTGTCAGATGAGTGTGTCTCTATGATCGAAAGCTGAGACGCCATTTTGGAATAAACTTGCATACGTCTGTTGTCTGTTTATACAGTTAGATATTAGGATACGTTTTCATGCACACAACGAACTAGAAAGGTTTTTTTTTTTATCCATTACTGACGGAATATTTCATTTTTGAATTACACAGTTTTTCTCTAGCTTCCATTTATCTAAAATCTCACATCACAATGCACCTATCCAACCGATGCACATTCAACATGAATCAAGATATGGAAAAATCTTCGTCGTTTTTGTTTTATTTTTGTTTTTCTTTTCTTTCTTTTTTACTTGTTTCTTTTTATTTCTCTCTTTCTTTCCTTCCTGTTTCTTTCTTTCTTTTTTCTTTGTATTTCTTTCTTTTTTTTTTTTTTCTTTCTTTCTTTTCGTACTTCTTTCTTTCCTGTTTCTTTTTTTACATTCTTTCTTTTTTTCCCCCTCTTTCTTTCTTCCTTGTTTCTTTTACCTACTTTTTTGCCTACTTGCATTTTTACCTTATTTATTTGTCTTTTTTCTTTTTGCTTATTTCATTCTGCTTTGTTTAATTTCTTACTTTCTTTCTCTTTTCTTTATATCTTTGTCTTTCTTCCTTTTCATTGTTTTTTCTTGTTGTTTTGCTTGGTTCTTTTTCTTTTTTCCTTGTTCATTTTCTTTCTTTTTTTCTTTCTTTCTTCTATCTTTTTTCTTGTTTTTTTTTTTCTTTGTTTCTTTATTCATTTTATTGCTTCTTTCTTTTATGTTTCTTTCTTTCTTTTTTCTTGGTCTTTCTTTTTGCGTATTTCTCATTCCCTTGTTTAATTTCGTTCTTGTTTTTTTCCTCTTTCTTTCTTTCTCTTTTCTTTATATATTTTTTCCTTGCTTTTTTTGGTAGTCGTTTTGCTTGTTTCTTTTTTTTTTCTTGTTCACTTTCTTTTTTTCTTTTTTTTTTTCTCAACCTGAATGTTTATTTCTGGACCCCTTCTTTCATATAATGTCAATCCTCTTTGCTTTTTTAAAATTCTATTTGCATTCTTTTTCTTCTTCTTTTACGCTCACACTGTTTCAAATAATTTTTTCTCTCTAACTCTTTCTCTCTCTCTTCCTCTTCCTCTTCCGTTTACTTTCATCCAAAGCAATCTGTTTTTCTTTGTTTTTCTTCTTCCTTTTGATTTCTCACCGTTTTCGCTTCTGTTTTACTTTTATTTTTTTTTAGTCGGACACTCACACTTTTTTCTTTTTTTCTCTTCTATTCGAATCGTTGCCCTTCCTCTTTTTTTCTCTAGTGGATCCATACTCTTTCTCATTCTTTTTATAGGATCATCATTTTCTATCTCTATCTTTCTCCTTTTATAGAATACTCTTTTTCTGGCAGATCCTCTATCTCTCTCTTTTTGTCGAATCTTCACTCTCTCATCATGTCTGTCGAAACGCCCTACTCTCTCTCTCTCTCACCCTGTCGGAGAATTTCTCTTTCTCCCTCTTTTTGTAAGATTCTCAATTTCCCCTCACTTTCCCCCGCCAAAAATTGTCTTTAGCAGACAATTGTCTTTCATCCTTGCCAAATGGACAGCTTGCCGGATTTGTAACAGAGCCTCTATACGTGTGGCACTGGCTGTTCAGAACCCGTGTGTTCATATATATATATATATATATATATATATATATATATATTATATCTATCACTAACGTTCTAACGTTTACAAGTTTTGTTGTGATGCCAGGCGCTTTGGAAGGGAAGGCCACGTGACGGCCTTTCTCTCCAAGGGAGAGTCTCTCACACATAAAATACTTGTAGACAAAACGATTGCACTTTGGATCGTGTGAAATCTTTGAGGTGTTTGACGTTTGATTGTATCGTGGGAAAAAATCTTAGACAAAAGTGATACAGAAAAAAAAAGCAAACGAGATTCTTAGGAAAATTATATGTATGTGCACACACATACACACGAGAGAGCATTTCTAAGTTCAATCGTGAATATTTATGATTGTCATCGTCTATTACATATATATATATATATATATATATATATATATATATATATATATATATATCTGTGTTTTGTGTATGCATATATATATGTGTTTTGTGTATATATATATATATATACATGTATATAGATATGTGTGTGTGTGTATATATATGTATGTTTGTGTATATACATGTGTATATATATATGTGTCTGTGTGTGTGCATGTATATGTATGTTTGTGTATATACATGTGTGTATATATATATATATATATATGTTTCTGTATATGTATGTGTATGTATCTATATATGTGAGCGTACATGTTTATGTATATATATAATATGTACGTGCGTGGACCTGTATGCGTTCATATATGTTACTGTACATATATATATATATATATATATATATATATATAGATTTTGACCATTACTTCTCTTACTCAGTTCATGCGCGAGAATTAGTACACAATGGCTTAAATTTTTTAATGCTTAGGTCTAAAATATTTCAACATTAGTAAACTAGTAGAATTAGTACATGTTTTTATACATTATAAAATAACGTATTAACTGCTTTGTTTAATTTTAAGTTTTTTAAGTCCCTTAAGAATTAGTTAAGTTTTAGTACAACTGTATATAAATGGGTTGATTATATAAAATATTTACAATCGGAAAGTAGCTTGAGTCAGTGAAACTGACTGTTACCATGCTGTGTTGATTCCTATGTCCAACATGTCTACAAGGTCTATATCTGTAAGTTTTCCATTCTTCATTATTGAAGCAGTCTTAATCCATAAATATAGCACTTTTTAAGAAATTATTTATATTGTATATATAAGAAATTAGAAGAAAAAATAACAAATTATAATAACAACATGACGTCACATTATTTAGCATCCTCCATAATTTTTCTTACCTTAACGCCGAAAAATTTTCAAACTCTTATTTTTCTAAATATTATTTGTGTGTGTAGTATGTGTAGTGTGTGCGTGCGTGTATAAATACAGGTTTCTAAATAAAATGTCTACATTTGCTTTAATAAAACATGAAGTTTTGGTTCATTTGCAGTATAAGCACCAAAAGCCCCCGGTACTGAGAATGTACGATTCTGATTATTTCGAAAATGGCGTTAAAACATTGCGCTCGATTTCCGTTTACGATACATCGTCAATGTAAGTTCAATGTCTTTCCCGTTGTCCGGCCGCCATTATTGGCGTTGTTTACATGCATTTGCGTCGAGTAATAATGGGCGGAAGCTTACTTAGCTAACGGCCTTTTTATAGCTTTTCGTATCTTACTCGTCTTGATTACTGCGCAATAATTATCATGGTAGTGTTAATTAAGGCAGTAATAACATCTAGGATGACATAATATTCATTCCTCATTAAAAATTCATTAACATTTTGGCGTTAAATAATAACTCAATTCAGGATTACATACAACCTTTATTTTTCAATTAAAAATCTTTTTTACAGTAGTTGCAAGAGACCACGTGATGAAACATAATCAAAACGATGGTTTTTAGTTGACGTGTGTAGGAAAAAAACATGATATAGAATCGATTTTGATATTTCTTTTATTTTGAATCTCTAAGGATACAGTAACATTTCCAATGACATCATCGTTATATAATCAATAAGTAGTTGTCTTATACTGCAAGTATAGAATAAATTTATGAAGATTTGCCATATTTTTTACCTAGTCTTATCTAAAGGTCCCCTTATACATGGAATATACGAGATATATATATATATATATATATATATATATATATATATATATATATATATAAGCTTGAATGCCGTCCTACCGTGTGGTATTTAAGCTAGATTCCTGAGGTGGGCTCTTTGTTGAGCCTTCAGCCTAAAAATGACAATTCATGCATTAAGTAAAATTCAGTTTGAACAATATTTTTCAAACAATAGTTTTCATCAAAACAATTATATAATTTATCTACTTGGAACTTATTGCAAAGCTGCATGACAAAGAACATTTTTGGGTTTCCCATTCGGGGTCAGTACAAATAGCTTATTTTCATTCCTAATTTTTGGACAACCAATATAGATCTGGCCGTGAGAAAAGCAGAGTTCCAACAGATGAACTTCAGTTACTTTCAATGATTGTCATTGGGACTTATTGATTGACATTGCATAGCTCACTCTAAATGAAAACTGAAATCTTTTGAACTCAAAAGGAAGATCTGGAGCAATTAAGGGGATTCTTGGAATTAAAACTCTTTCCTCCTTTCCTGAACCAGTAAGGATCTCTGCTTCTAAGAGATCAGGAAGCATCTTCCTGATAATTATCCTTGTTCCATTACAAACCTTTGGAGGATCCAGATTTATCAATAGCATAACTGGCACATTTTCTTTTAGTTCCATCTTGTGTAATGACATTCCAGGAGGATTCACTGTGTCCAGGAACTTTATTGGATAATTCACTGCTTGATTTTTTCAAAGCACAGTGTCAGTGGAAAAGTATTCATGCTTTCTTTTTGGAATTTCTTGGAGAAGTTTCCAGTTGATGCTATCCACAGTTTGATTCTTGGGATCTAATATGACCCTCCCATAAAGCCAGTATGAATCCATGAGATGGTGTTTAATGTTTGATAAACATAGTTAATCAAGTCTTGGATACTTGAGGCTGAAACTCCACAAACATTTGAGAGTGAAATACCTCCATGTTGGTCCATTTTGATGGTTCCCTTGTCAAACTGCAACAACAAAGCATCAAATCTTCCTGCTTCAAGTCCACCTGTGATTCTAACTCTCATGTTTGTTTTCAGGTTGAGTCTTTGAAATGGCTGCAGATGAAAGAATTTTTCAAGCAAAGCATTGATTTCATCAGCTGGAGTTCCTCTGCAATGACTGGTAATGTTTATCAAAAATCACCAGAGAGTAGTACACTGATATCTCCCATGATTTGTGAATTCTGTCTAATGTTTTGTCCAGTGCCTCAAATGTTCACTTGTGTGCCATGGTACATTAATTCCTGACAATGAAGTTTGTCTCCTCCAGTAGCTTAGCCAAATTGGTTCCTCTTTTGATATATTTCCATTTTGGTCCATTTTGATGATTCCATTGCTAAACTGCAACAGCAAAACATCAAATCTTCCTGTTTACTGTTGTACTTACCAAGAATATATTATTAAACCTTATATACGAGTCGGAGTTCTCTTTTATGGTCCACACCATAACAGTACCATAATGTTTGTGCACATTGGATGCCCAAACACGCAAATGTGAGCTACCGAAGGGCATAGTGATAGTAATATGGTGGCATGATATGCTGGGAGATTTATTTTGGAGAAGATTTACCTGTACGGAATCTATGGATTTCCTCTTGGCTCCTTTTCAGGAATCTATAACTTAATATATTCTAGTAGAGATGTTATATATTCATATTATCGTGAATTGACACAAAACAATATATATAGGATATACAGCCACAACTCTTTCTTGTAGATTCACTTCTGATACTTCCAAACAAAGTGCTCTTCGGCAAGACATCATATAAATACAGAAAGTTTAGAATGTTATAATACATCGTGTGAATAAGAGAACAAAATGTAAAAAAAAATACAAATTTTAAAAGCTACAGATATTAAGTCAAAGTAAATTGCAACCAACAGAAGAATTTGCGATAAGGTACGCTGAAAAATATTTAAATTCTCAGAATTCACACTGAAAAAAAAGGTACGCTGAAAATTATTTAAATTCTCAGAATCCACACTGAAAAAAAGGTACGCTGAAAATTATTTAAATTCTCAGAATCCACACTGAAAAAAAAGGTACGCTGAAAATTATTTAAATTCTCACAATTCACACTGAAAAAAAGGTACGCTGAAAACTATTTAAATTCTCAGAATTCACACTGCATCACTTTCGCGAGAAACAGGAAAGTGTTAAAAATTCAAAAATAACATCACATCACGTGGCATCACAAACATTCAAAACTTAAAGTCCAAAATCATTCACAAACATGTAAACAATTTTGTCTCTATGGTATCCTGTGGGTGAAGAGAAGAAGAAGAAGAGAAAAAGAGAGAGAGAAATGCTTTTCGCTTTTTTATTAAATAAAGCTTTTTTGCCAACACCATTTAGCAGGAATTAGATGGAGTTTCTTCGCAGACAAGTGGAATAATCCCACAAGCACAAACCAAGTGTGATACACTTTATTAATGCTTACATTTGTCAGCTTTTATTCAGCCTCAAAGAACAAATTGGTTAACAGAAAACAATGTGATATATTGAAGAAGAAGAACTGCAAAAGAGAGAGAGAAAACTTTTTATCGCTATTTTCAGACGAACAGTGTGAATCGGAAATGAATAAAAAGCGTTTGGTAATAAGTGTATTTTATGCAATAGAAGTTAAGACAAAACCAATACCAGTCGAAATAAGAAAGCTGGACTTTTATTGAGTCATTCGAATTTAGCCATATAGCTATATTCTCTACTTCTACTTTTGGATGGGAGTTTTATTCAAAAAGCAAGAGAAATGAAGATGAAAGAAATACTAGTGAAAATGAATAATAATTGATAATGCTTCATCTAAACTGCAATTTTTCATTCAAATTTAGCCATATAGCTTTTATACTTCTACTTCTTATAGATGGGAGTTGCAATAAAAAGCAAGAGAAATGAAAATGAAAAAAAAAAATATTAGTGAAAAATGAATAATAATTGACAATGCTTCATCTTAGAAATAACCAGCAAGAGTCATTCAAATTTAGCCATATAGCTACATTCTTTACTTCTACTTCTTATGGATGGGAGTTGCAATAAAAAGCATGAGAAATGAAGATGAAAGAAATACTAGTGAAAAATGAATAATAATTGACAATGCTTCATCTAAGAAGGCTAACCATCAATAGTCATTCAAATTTAGCCATATAGCTATATTCTCTACTTCTACTTCTTATGGATGGCAGTTGCAATAAAAAGCAAGAGAAATGAAGATGAAAGAAATACTAGTGAAAAATGAATAATAATTGACAATGCTTCATCTATGAAGGCTAACCATCAGTAGTCATTCAAATTTAGCCATATAGCTATATTCTCTACTTTTACTTCTTATGGATGGGAGATGCAATAAAAAGCAAGAGAAATGAAGATGAAAGAAATACTAGTGAAAAATGAATAATAATTGACAATGCTTCATCTAAGAAGGCTAACCAGCAGGAGTCATTCAAATTTAGCCATATAGCTATATTCTCTACTTCTACTTCTTATGGATGGCAGTTGCAAAAAAAAGCAAGAGAAATGAAGATGAAAGAAATACTAGGTAACTAGACGCGTCAAGATCTCATCATTTTCCAGTTGAACTAGCTTACTTTCTTTTCTTGCACTTTTCCCTTTTGGAATTGCCTTCCGATTCCATCCTAATTCTAAACCTCCATCCTTTAATCTGCAAAAATTCAAATGCAATGGCAACCGCTATCTACTATCCTCCTGATTACTCTTTTCTCTGAACCCTCATTATGAATGTTTCTATTACTAATTCTTTCACACCCAGTACCGCCTTGCGTTTTAGGGGCTATACTGCATTGCTTGGGGTGACAGCGATTAAAGAAAAATATTGATAATTGACAATTCATCGAATAAAATAAAGTTGGTCTCCTAGGGTAAAATATTCTTTGCCCTCTAAGAATTTTACAATATTCTGAACATTTGAAATGTATTTTCATTATTAAAATTTTCATTACATCTCTTAATATTTTAACATAACATTGCGACATCCATTCTTGGATTGTCGTTAAATTTCGACTGATCAATTTTTGATCATTTTAAAAAGCTATGCAACCCTGAAATTCGGGCTCTTTCCTATTTTGTTAACAGTAAATTTGAAAATGTATGCGACAATTTTCTTTCTAGGGCAGGTTTACGGTATTCTCATATAAAAGCGTTTTGAAGAACACCCAATCGATGTAAATGTTAAGGTCGTATAAAAAAAAGACTTCTTATAAGAAATTCTTCAGAAATATCGACCGACATTTCATGTCTTTTATGCATGGATAGATTTTGTACTGGCAAAACTTTGGCATCGAAAAGCCATACGCTATGCAAGCACATCCATCTTTTTTTCTGGTATACTGAAGTGCATTTTATTTATTAAGTTAAAAATAGAAGTTGAATATTTTAATCTTTTAGTAACCATATCTGTCTGCTTGTCTGCCTGCCTGTCTGTCTGTCTGTCTGTCTGTCTCTTATACACTCACACACACACAAACATATACGCACACACTCTCTCACTTCTCACTTTTCTTATCTCTTCACTCGCTTTTTTTCTCTTTTCGGGCTTTGTTCTCTTTCTTCTTTTCTCCTTCTTCGTTTCACGTGTCGCTATCTTTTTCTTTTTCTTCTTTCGCTTTATTTCCTCTCTCTCTCTCTCTTATCTTCTTATCCTACTTTTCCTTTCTCTCTTTTTCTTTTCTCTTTCTTGCTTTCTCTTTCTTTTCTGTTCTCTCTTTCACTTCTTTTCTTCTATTTCTTATTTTCTTTTCTCGTTCGTGTTTTCTCATTTGGCTTTTTTCTTTTCTCTTTCTTTTTTCTTCTCTTTTTTTCTCCTCTTTTTCCATTCTAGTTATTACAAATGAACTTCTACCACGATCTGTCTATATTTCTGAGATGAGGTATTATGTACACTATTTACATTATTCGGCCTATTGTCCTCATCTTTGTCGCCATATTTATTACAACGTTTCGGCCCTTCAGTATCTGTCTATATTTCTGAGATGAGGTATTATGTACACTATTTACATTATTCGGACTATTGTCCTCATCTTTGTCACCATATTTATTACAACGTTTCGGCCCTTCAGTATCTGTTTATATTCCTGAGATGAGGTATTATGTACACTATTTACATTATTCAGACTGTTGTCTTCATTTTTGTCGCCATATTTATTACAACGTTTCGGCCCTTCAGTATCTGTCTATATTTCTGAGATGAGGTATTATGTACACTATTTACATTATTCGGACTATTGGCTTCATCTTTGTCGCCATATCTATTACAACGTTTAGGCGGCTGTACGTTCCGACCTTCTTCAGATGGTTGGAATGTCGAACTGAACCCTTTATTTATAGACTTCTAGTTCCACGTGCCATGTTTAATGGATATCATTTATCAGTTTTCTTCTGTTAATTCCCCTCTCCAAGTTCTCTACTGCCTTAACCGTTACACGCAATCGTCAGGCCGCCTGATGATTGCATCTAGCATGAAACAGCCTGTCGCCTCCGAGTGTTGGCTTCAATGTTCACTTTTATATTCATATTTACACACTCTCTATCTCTATTGAGCTAAAATATAGCTACACCTTAAAACTATATTTCTTCATATATATATATATATATATATATATATATATATATATATATATGTACGTGTGTGTGTGTGTGTGTGAAGAAATATTATCTTAAGGTGTGCTATATTTATGGAATGAAGTGCTCAATATCAGACATAGAGCGTGTAAATATAAGAGTGAACATGCCTGACGATTGCTTCTAGCATGAAACAGCCTATCGCCTCTGTATGTTGACTTCAATATTCACTTTTATATATATATATATATATATATATATATATATATTGCTGAAGTCATCTGAATGTTTGTTGTTGTCTTCCATCATCCAATATCTGTTTTTGAGTCATTGTAACACCCTCAACAGAACAGGAGTCGCAAAGTGTGCCACATGCATCGCCCCACTAACTACAGTATTCGCTATTATTGTATTATTAATCTATGAGATTAAATAGTTCCTTGCTTTTGTTGGAATAGTATTAACCAGCACTACGATCTTCTTATAAGATTCATTATAACATAATACGGGTTAGTCTTGAAAGCCTAACGTGTAAATATTAATTCCCAACGCTAATATGAACTTATTAAAATAACACTCTTCTTTTGCGTTCGCTCATGTGAAATATAAAACATTCCTTTTTTTTTTTGTAAATAAATTATAAAATAGATATATGATGAGAAAAAAAAATTATCCCATGTGTCGACTTTGTGTTTAAACGACACAAGGAATGTTCAACACCACAGAATGTCGTTGCAAAAGTGTCATAACTTGCTGTAGAATCGGCGTGTTAAACTTAGCGTGATGTCTACTTTTATTTATTTTTTTTTCCACTTTTGAAGATTGAAAAAGAAAATGGAGGTCCCTCAAGGAAGATTCGTTATGATTCGGTCTGACAACAGACCTTCTCCATTTCTTTTCTTTCATCTTCATGCTATACGTTTCTAAATAATCATTTTCAACTTTGTGTTTTTTTTTTTTTTTTTTTTTTTAGTAAAGAACAGAGATAAAAGCGTTTTCTATTTATTTATTGTTATTCTAGAGTTTTCTGATTTTTACATTTTGGGGGTTAGGGATCATTTTCTTTAACCGCCCCCTCCGTTTGCACTGCCTATTCTTCTCAGGCAACCTCTCTCCTTCATTTTATTGACTTTACTTTCGGTTCTGTGGTATATTTCCTCGGTAAACTTGGATCATCGTTCCCGCAAAAAAAATTTAAAAAAAAAATGGAGTGTCAAAATGACAGTTTTTCTTTTGTGACCATTATTATTTTAACTACCTTCACCCCTCAGCAATGTTTGTTTTAAAAAGCATTAATCAGAATTGTAATAAAACCTAAACATATGAAACTGAATTTATACACTTTTTTTATTCTTGAGAGTTGAAAACAAAAATAATAAACACTATTTATTATATTGTTTATTTACATGGCACAGTGGATAAAAGGCTTTCGTTAGATCCAATGACAGGACCCAAAGAGTTTGTGTTCAATACCAGGAGAAGGCCGTGGAGAACTTGTAGAGGTGAATTAACAGGAGATAACTGATAACTGACATCCATTAAACATGGCACGTTGAACTAGAACAGTCTACCCTAGCGAGCAAAATAAAGGGTTCAGTTCGACATTTCCACCACCTGAAGAAGGCCGGAGCGTACAACGGCCGAAACGTTGTAATAAATATAGCGACAAAGATGCGGACAATAGTCCGAATAATGTAAATAGTGTACATACTACCTCATCTCGGAAATATAGACGGGAGATATTGGAGAGGGGAATTAACAGGAGATAACTGATAACTGACATACATTAGACATGGCACGTGGAACTAGAACAGTCTACCCCAGTGAGCGAAATAAATGGTTCAGTTCGACATTCCAACCACCTGAAGAAGGCCGGAGCGTACAACGGCCGAAACGTTGTGATAAATATGGCAACACAGATGAGGACGATAGTCTGAATAATGTAAATAGTGAATATTATTCTAATTTAGTTCTGTGATAATTTTTATTTTATTTTACGGCAATTTTTTAAAGATTTTTTTGTAGCTGTGCATAATACGCACCCCTGATTTTGTCTATTATTTTTTAGAAGAAAATGCGTATTATACATGGGAAATTACGGTAATTCTTTAATTTCGTTTCTTCCATCTCCATAAACGACCGCTAGAATTGCAGAACTAAACCAATCTGTTGTCTTTATCCGAACAAGCTCGAACATAACTCCCCAATTACAAATAACAACTTTAAAATAGCTCAATGAGAAATAGACATGACTTCTGAGTAATCGCTGTCATTTCGACACAAAAAGAATCTACTAATAGTAACTATTTGGCGGCTTAATTCTTTCTTATGGTCGAGGCGCCAAAGCTTTCGGTTTTCTTTTTGTTCTTTTTTTTATTTCGCGCCCTTTTTTTATAGATTCGCGCGCTTTGTGTTTCCCACGCCGTCTGTTTCTGCATTGAATTGGACGTTTGCTTTGTTTAATGCGACGGACATAAGCGCTTGTTACTTATTTGATTTCTTTAAAAAAAATTCTTTAGTATTTATTTTTATTTTTAATTATACGGCTGTATTTCAAGGAAGCTTTTCGTCCTCCCTCTATTTAACCCAGTAGTTCCTCAAAAAATTATTTTCTAGGCCACATTTTCGGAATTAAAATTTGCTCGCGCCTCACCAAATTTTAAGTGATAAAAAGTACATTTAAAAATAAACCAAAAAGATATAGACTTAATGGGAGATAACCGCCGATTTGAAGTCAGAATATTATCATTGATAACTCTCTCCTCCACTTTGCGGACTTTAGTTACTATATTCTTAATACTTGATATAATGCAAAAATATCACACTGATAAAATCGATCAATAATTATTTATAACTATTTATGAAAAAATTTTCTCAGAGTTAACCTGTAGAAAAAGACAATATTTATAAATGTAAAAGACAATAGGAAAACTGTAATAGTTGTCGACGCGTTTCGTCCAATGTGGACTTTTTCAAGGCAAGAAAACGAAATGAATTTATTAAACAAAGTAACGAATAATAACAAAAACAAAATGTCCTTAGCAACTGGAAGAATTTAGTCTACGCTATTTTCATACTGTTAACTGAAAATTACGTCATTTACTGTCACGTGTGGAGATATTGTTTTATTGAATTCGTCAATACAGCAATAAAAACAATGTACTTGGAATAAATGCATTTAAATCAACATGGTAATCTTCTCTCTTCCTTTAATAAGGATACTAAGAAGCGTGTCCGTGAATATGAGAGGATCCTGTTAAAAATAGACAATGCTTGTCTAAATTATTCAATGACACGTCTTAATATATATATATATATATATATATATATATATATATATATATATATATATATATATTATAAATTAATTTAAAATATGTTTTTTTCCGCTACACAGTTCTAACCATGTTTCAAAATAGAAGCTAAAAAGCCCTGAATTTAATTTTTGCAATTAAATTAAAAAACATTAGTTCCATTTCATCCTCAAGCGAATTTTGGAGAAACTTTTTAAAAATTACTGGGTTTTAAAGACACAGCTAAAATCACGTTTCCATGGTTACAGAATATTCTACTTCAATTGGACAAGGGATATCTAGGTTTTCCTTATGTCAGTATCATTGTATCAGTTATTAGCTATAATTTGGTAAGGGGTAGGGATGTATTTTTCAATGAAAACTGACACCCGTTGAATGCATGTCGTCTGGATTTTTTTTTTTTTAAATTATTGTTAACGGTAAAAAAATTCTTACGGCATTTATTTTTTCATTTATAAATTTAAAGATTTTCGGGGGTGTTCAGATCATAATACTTTTTATTTAACTACGATTTGAAATCTTCTCATTTTTAATTTTTATTATACTATATTCTTTTTAAGAACAGTTAAATGTATTAGTATCCATTATATTATGTAGGATTATTTTAAAATCAAGTTTAAGTATGTATATGAGGTTACATTTTTTTTTTATTGTTAAAAATTTATGACTATGACGGCTTTTTTTTTCCGCTACACAGTTCTAACCATAATGCTCTCTAAATTTACATTGAGCACTATTTTGTAAAAATAAAAATATCTATAAGAACACCGGATTATATATCTTGCTGTTCTTTCTTTATATATATATATATATATATATATATATATATATATATATATATATATATATATATATATATGTGAATAAAAATGACAATAGGAAAACTAGTAATTGCTGAGACGTTTCCTATAGTGAACCCTAGCCTTGAACAGGTTAAGATTGTGGGAGATTATTGGGAATCGGTTCCACAGAGCAGTAGTTCGCGGGACGATGGTGTCTGAGTGGAACTTAGTTCTCATCGATGGGATACGTAGGGAGTGTGGGTTGTTGGCTCCAAAGTGAGTGGTATGGCGAATACTGGACGTGAAGGTTAGAACTGGGGGGGGGAGAACCAAGGAATGTTGTTCATCCAAGTACTTTATGGGGCAGGAGCGTTAAAGCAGCGACAGTCTTGCCTTCTCTGTTTGGTCAGATTTTGGGCGGTGATTCGGGACAAGGAGTTTTGATCACCCATTCTCTGTGTGTAACTATATATATATATATATATATATATATATATATATTAACGAGTTCTTTTTTGCTTCTACCCGTAGTAGCTATCAAAGGAATCGTAGAAATTGTTCCTGGGACCCAAGCCCTAGATAGGGATGAAAAACACAAAAGAAAACAAAACATGAAGCAGAAGACTAACATCTCATATGAAAAATGTGTCCCCCACCCGATAACCAATCCGTGGCCCACCCGTCCACCCACATCAAACAGGATATCCCCTTCTCCGACTCGCCACTGGTCGGTGTAAGATGACACCTCATCAAATATTATTATTACTCGTATCTTTATTGCAATTACATGACTTGCCCGCACCTGTCTGTAGACGAATCTGTTTCTGTTCGTGTTGTTATGGTGAGTGTGACATTCTCACCCTCTCTCTCCCTCCCCCTCTCTCTCTCACTCTCTCTCTCTCTCACTCTCTCTCCTTTTTTCTTTCTTTTACAACGTTCTTTCTTTCACTTTCTTCTTTATTTCATTTTCTCTTTTTCTTTCTTTTCTCTTTTTCTTTGTTCTTTCTTTCTTTCTTTTCCCTTTCTTCTTTCTGTTTCCCCTTTTCTTTTCGACTTCTTTTGCGACGTCTTTCCTTCTTTTTCTCGATCTTCATTTTTATCACTCTTTCTTCTTTTACCACTTTTTTCTTTTCTTTCCTTTTTCTTTCTTTTCTATCCATTTTCTTATTTTCTTTTCTCTTTTTTTTTGCACTTTTCTTACTTTTTTTCTCACTTCTTTTCTGTCTCTCTTTCTTTCTTTCTTTCTTTCTTTTTCTCTCTCACCTTTTCTATGTTTTACTCTCACATTTCTCTCTCTCCCTCTCTCTATCTCTCTCTACTTCTCCGCTTTCTTTTTTCTTCTTCTCTTATATTCCAACCCTGTCTTTTCTTGTTCTTCTTTTTGTTTTCCTCCCTTTTTTTCAATTCTTTTTCATTTGTTCTTTCTTTTTCTCTTCTTCATTCTCTCTATTACCCATCCTTTTTACCTTCCTTCCTTTCTTTTTCCTTTTACTTACCTTCTATTTACCCTTCTTATTTCTTTCTTTCCCTCTCTTCTTTATCTCCATTTCCCCTTCTTTTTAGTCTCCTTTTCTGTTTCTTTCTTTGTCCTCTCTAATTCTAATTCCTTCTTCTTTATCACCTTTTTCTCTTTTCGTCTTTCTTTCCTTTTCCCCCTTCTCTCATATTTCTCTCCATTTTCACTTCCTTCTTCTTTCTCTCCTTTTTACCCTTTCTTTCTTCTTTCTCCCCATTTCCCATTCTTTCTTCTTTCTCTGTTCTTTCTCTCTTTTTCTCTTCATTTCCTCTTCGTCTTTCTTTGTCTCCCTTCTTCTTTCTATACATTTTCCTCTTCTTTCCATTTCTCTTCTTTCTTATTTCTCTTCTGTCCCTGTTCCTTCTTGTTTCACACCATTTTCCTCTTCCTCCTTCTTTCTCTCCATTTCTTCCTTCCTCCTTCATTTACTCCATTTTCCTCTTCCTCTTTCTTTCTCTCCATTTCCTCCTTCCTCCTCCTTTCACTCCATTGTCTCTTTCTCCATTCACTCCATTTTCCCCTTCCTCCTTTTTCACTCCATTTTCCCTTTCGTCCTTCTTTCTCTCCATTTCCTCCTTCCTTCTCTCCATTTCCTCCTTCCTCCTCCTTTCACTCCATTTCCTCCTTCCTCCTCCTTTCACTCCATTTTCCCCTTCCTCCTACTTTCTCTCCATTTCCTCCTTCCTTCTCTCCATTTCCTCCTTCCTCCTCTTATCACTCCATTTTCCACTTTCTCCTTTTTCACTCCATTTTCCCCTTCCTCCTTCTTTCTCTCCATTTCCTCCTTCCTTCTCTCCATTTCTTCCTTCCTCCTCCTTTCACTCCATTTTCCTCCGTCCTCCTTTTTCACTCCATTTTCCTCCGCCCTCCTTCTTTCTCTCCATTTCCTCCTTCCTCCTTCTTTCACTCCATTTCCTCCCTTCCTCCTTTTTTCACTCCATCTTCCCTTTCTCCTCCTTTCACTTCTTTTCCCCTTCCTCCTCCTTTCTCCCCATTTCTCTGTACTTTTTCTCCTTCTCTTCATTTCTCCATCATCTTTCTTTGTCTCCCTTTTCTTACTCTCCTTTACCCCTTATTTCTTGTTTATATTCATTTCTCCTTCCTTTTTTCTATACATTTTCCTCTTCTTTCTCTCCTTTTCCCTTTCCTTCTTCTTTTATTCGATTTTCCCCTTCCTCCTCCTTTCTCTCCATTTTCCCCTTCCTCCTCCTTTCTCTCCATTTCCCTTTCTTCTTTCTCACATTTACCCCACTTTCTTCATTCTCTTGATTTTCCTCTTCCTTCTTTCTCTTGATTTTCCCCTTCCTCCCTCTTCTCTCTATATTTTCCTCTTTTTCTCTCTTTCTGCTCCCTCCCTCTCTCTTCTCCTTCCTTCTTCTTTCTATATATTTTCTTCTTCATTCTCGCTATTTTCCTTTCTTTCTCCACTTCTTTCTCTTTTTTTTCTTCTTCAAAATATTTGAGAGACTTAACAACTGATGACAAAATGAGTAAAGAAAGCTTCTTACTTTTTAACGAAAATAATAAATTACTAGCAACTGTTGTTATACTTGCGTTTGTACTCTTTGAATCTCTCAACGTTAATAATAACTGAACGCCATGTCATGTAATGGTTAAAGAGTCACACAGATCATTATTAATTGGTAGTGAGTACGATCCTCCATAGGCGCTCCATATAATTTTCACTAGGCTGAAACTACGTTACAATTAGTAAATTAATCTAAATACTGGAGCTCAAGTAATATTAAGTCAATCCAGCACCCTCCTCAGTATCCAACTGTTTTGGTAATGTTGTCGTCTGAATGAATGTAAAGAAAGTATCTATTTGACATTAAAATTTAAATTAAAAGTTCGGCAAAGATGGACTTTCATCAAAGGACGATTTTTCACATGACACCGTTTTATTTCAGCTACCTTCACTCCTCAGCAATGTTTATTGTTTAAAAAGCGACTATTAGAATGAACATATAATAAAAGGGAATTAATACATTTTTGTTCTTGAGAATTTAGAACAAAATTAATAAACACTATTGGATTGTTTATTTAAATTATTTATTTATTATATTGTTTATTTGATTGGTTCGCAAAACATTTGCTAATTGCTGAGTGAATCAAACTTTATAAAATGGTAAATAATACGGATTTCTTTATAGATGGTTCACATATTTCAATAATTTAGTAAATGTTTAAAATCTATAAATAAAAAATTGTTTTCATATTTGTTTCTTTATAAATTGGTAAATGATAAATATTGCATTCGTTTTAAATTGTACTGGTATTTTTTTAGAATGTTGTAAATATAAAATATTTTATAAAATGTTGTAAATATAAATATATTTTTTAGAATGTTGTAAATATAAAATATTTTATAAAATGTTGTAAATATAAATATATTTTTAGAATGTTTGTAAATATAAAATATTTTATAAATGTTGTAAATATAAATATATTTTTTTAGAATGTTGTAAATAAAAATATTTTATAAAATGTTGTAAATATAAATATATTTTTTAGAATGTTAAATATAAAATATTTTATAAAATGTTGTAAATATAAATATATTTTTTAGAATTTTAAATATAAAATATTTTATAAAATGTTGTAAATTTTTTTTTAGAATGTTGTAAATATAAAATATTTTATAAAATGTTGTAAATATAATATATTTTTTTAGAATGTTGTAAATATAAAAATTTTATAAAATGTTGTAAATATAAATATATTTTTAGAATTTAAATAAAAATATTTTATAAAATGTTGTAAATAAAATATATTTTTTTTAGAATGTTTAAAATATAAAATTATTCTTGTAAATAAAAAATGTAATAAATAAATAGTTTTTAATATTTTTCTTGTAAATTCTCAAGAACAAAAAAAAAGGTACAAATTCGCTTTCATCATATGTTTAGGTTTTATTACAACTCTAATCATTGCTTTTTAAAACAATATAAACATTGCCAAGGAGGAGGAGTAAAAATAAAGGCGGTGTCAGAGGAAAAACAGTCCTTCTGACACTCTGTATTTTTTTTTTTTTTGTTTTTTTTTTTTTTTTTTTTTGCGGTACGAACGTCCATGTTTGCAAAAAAGTTGTTTGATTTTACAATGTTAAATTTGTTTCTTTTTATATTTAATATTTAGATATTTATTTTATTATATTTTACTGGGATCTTTTCTATTGTCGTTGGTGGATTGTTATTGTTTAGTGGCATATCAACACCTTTATGGGTTATTTACTGCCGAAATCTAAATAGTTTAAATGCAATTCTATAATTTCTTTGGAAATAGTAATGGTTTTCGTGATACAAGACAGACTAATTAACCCTTAGGTAGGGGGAGAACAGGTGGATTTATACCCTTTCCCAAGGGTATTTGCACGTAAGTGAATATAACGAACCCGGCTATTATCCATTTTAGCACCTGGTCTTCCCAAGCGGCCACCCATCTGGGTACTGACCATGCTCAACGTTGCTTAACTTCGGTGGTCGTACAGGAACCAATGTTTCAACGTAATGTGGCCGTAAACCCTTCTTTTTTGGAATAACAGGCTGTGATTTTGTGCGTTGGCTTTTAGTCTGTTCCATTGACTTTTAAAGCACTTTCTTTGATATTTAAATTTTTGACATGATTGATTCTAATATCACCAATTCCTGACTCAGATCTTAGCACTATGTCGCCAAATATCATAATGAAATTTAATTCATTAGCATTATTGTTGCTCACACGATCAGTCCAAGATATCCTCAGCATCATTCTGTAGAACCACATCTCTGTCGTATCGAGTCTCTTCTTCATCTTTGAGGAAATCGTCCAACATACGCTGCCGTAAAGAAGGACAGATGTCACGTAACAGCTCAGTATTCTTTTTTTTCGTTATTATTATTATTATTATTACTATTATGATATCCTCAGCATCCTTCGGTAGAACCATATCTCTGTCGTATCGAGTCTCTTCTTCATCTTTGAGGAAATAGTCCAACATCCGCTGCCGTAAAGACGGACAGATGTCACGTAACAGCTCAGTATTCTTTTTTCGTTATTATTATTATTATTATCATATCCTCAGCATCCTTCTGTAGAACCACATCTCTGTCGCCTCGAGTCTCTTCTCCATCTTTGAGGAAATCGTCCAACATTCGCTGCCGTAGAGAATGACAGATGTCACGTAACAGCTCAGTATTCTTTTCTTGGTTACCAAAGAAATCTTACTGTCTCGCAATACTCTGCCCAGCCTTTGAAATGCGTCCTTGGCCATCCCAATACGTCTACGGATCTCGGTGTCGCATTTACTGTCTTCTGTCAGAACGCTTCCCAGATATTTAAACTTCCGGATCTGCCTGAGTTGCTGAAAATATGAATTGATTCTGACAGAGTGACTGAATAAGGAAAAAAAAAAAAGGAAATCTTTATAAATTGGTCATATTTCTCTATTCTTATAACTCTAAACGTCATTTTAATGAATCTCTGTGTTTGAATAGATACTTTGTTTTTTGTAGATTTTTAACAGTTTTTTTTTAAATTTTCAAACAGTTTTTAAACAGTTTTTTTTTATTACGTTTCTATTCAAAAAACTTAATAAAGTAAATGTGCTCTCCGGCGAGGTTCCATGATTACAAATATCTTTATTATGCCTCTCGAATGCATAGTCCGGTAGACGTAATTCATACTGTTTTTCCCCCTCTCTCCTTCTTCCTCGCCTTCTCTTTTTTTATCCTTCTCATTTTTCTTTCCTTTTCTCTGTCTCTCCTTTTTTCTGTCTCTCATCCTCTTTCTTTTTCTCCCTCTCCTTTTTCTATCTCACCCTCTCTTTCTTTTTCTTGTCCTCTTTCTTTTTTTCTCTCTATTTATTTTTCTCTCACTACTAATTTTTCTTTTTGTCCCTTCTTTCTTCTCTACTTCTTTCTGTCACTGTTTTTCTCACCCTCCCTCATTCCCCCCCTTCCCTCTCTTTCTTTCTCCCTTTCTTTATTTCTCTCTCTCTCTCTCTCTCTCTTTCATTTGTCTCACTCTTTCTTTTTGTTTCTCTACTTCGTATTCGTTCTTTACTTATTTTTTTCTCTCTTTTCTTTTTCTCTCTTTTCTTTTTCTCTCTCTCCTTTACTCTCACCTTTTCTCTCTCCCCCCTTCACTTTCTTTTCATCTCTCCTCTTTCTTTTTTTCTCCTTCTCTTACTTTTTCTCTCTCTACTTCTCTTTTCTGTCTACTTTTTTCGTCTCTACTTTTTTCTCACTTCTTTTCCCTTTCGTTTTCTGTTTCTTTCTCTCTTTCTTTCTTCTTCTCTCTCCCCTTCCCTATCTTTTACTCTCACGTTTTCTCTCTCTCTCTTTCACTTCCTCTTTCTTTTTTCTCCTTCTCTAACTTTTTCTCTCTCTACTTCTTGTTTTCGCTTCTTCTTTTCCCTTTCGTTTTCTATCTCTCTTTCCTTTCCCCTTTTCTATGTTTTACTCTCACATTTTCCCCCCTCTCTCTCTCTCTTTCACTTTCTTTTTACTTCTCCTCTTTCTTTTTTCTTCTTCTCTTATTTTCTTCTCTCTCCACTTCTTTGTTTATATTTTTCGCCTCTACTTTTATTCTCTTTACTCCTTTTTTCTATTCTTCGTTTCCCTTTTGCTTTCTGTCTTTCTTTCTGTTTCTTTCTCTCTCTCTTTCTTTCTTTCTTTCCCCTTCTCTATCTTTTACTCTCACCTTTTCTCTCTCCCCACTTTCTTTTTATTTCTCCTTTTTTTTTCTCCTTCTCTTGCTTTTTCTCTCCCCACTTCTTTTTTCTGTCTACTTTTTCGTTTCTACTTCTTTTTTCTCTTCTTCTTTTCCCTTTCATTTTCTATCTCTTTTTCTCTTTCTTTTCTTTTTTCTTTCTTTCTTTTTTTTTTCTTTCTTTCTTTCTTTCTTTCTTTCTCCCCTTCTCTAACATTTGCTCCCACCTTTTCTCTCTCTCCCTTACTTTCTTTTTCTCCTCCTACTTTTTTCCCTCTCTACTTCTTTTTACGTCTCTACTTTGTTCTCCCTACTTCTATTTTTCGCTTTTTCTTTTCCCTTTCGTTTTTTATCTCTCTTTTTCTTTTTTCTTTCTTTCTTTTTTTTATCTTTACTCCCAATCCTTTCTCTCTCTCCTCATTTCTTTTTCCTCCTACTTTTTCCCTCTCTACTTCTTTTTTTCGCTTCTTCTTTTTCCTTTCGTTTTTTATCTCTCTTTCTCTTTCTTTCTTTCTTTCTTTTTTTTTATCTTTTACTCCCACCTTTTTCTCTCTCTCTCTCTCTCTCCCTTACTTTCTTTTTCTCCTCCTACTTTTTTCCCTCTCTACTTCTTTTTACGTCTCTACTTTGTTCTCCCTACTTCTTTTTTTCGCTTCTTCTTTTCCCTTTCGTTTTTTATCTCTCTTTCTGTTTCTTTTTTCTTTCTCTCACTCTCTCTCTCTTTCATAATAATAATAGTAGCTCTTATTTTTCTTTCGGTTTTAGTATTAGTACTAACCCCTCCCCCCTCGGCCTGGCTATTCTCAATCTTTTCTTTGTCTTGTTTCTTTCACTTCTGGTTGCTTTCATCTTTCAATTCTTCTTTCTCCATTATTGTGAGTTGAATCGAGTTCATCGGGTTATTACCAATTACGACCGTCGTCTGCTGCTCCCCAAATATGTATCCTCGCTTTATAATGAGAGCTTCATTTTTTATGATTCAATGAACAGCAGAGAAAGGGAGGTGATTAGACAGTTAACGGATCCAAGACATACTCTTCAAAAACAGAAACCACAAAAAGAAAAAAAAGCCGCACACCCCGGAATGAAGCAGTTTTTATTTATTTAGGAAGATCAGAAGAGAAAACGTTGGTGACAAACGTTGAGAAATGAAAACAATTACTGATGTATAAGGGTAATGGAGAACTAACGGAGAGACAAGGGAGACAAAGTAAGAGGAAAGAAGATAAGAAAAATAATAATAAGGCGATAGAAAGTATAAGAAACAGAGGGGGGAGCTTTATTTTCTTTCTTCTCTTTATCTTTCTTCTCTTTGTCCTTTTTCTTGTTTTTTTCTTTCGCTTTTTTTTTTCGTATATTATGCATTCTTTTTTTCTCTTTTTTCCTTTTCTTCTCTACTTTATTTTCCTTTTTGTCTATTTACTTCTTTCGTCTCTTTTTCAATTCTATCGTTTCTTTTCTTTTCTCCTTTCTTCTGTCGTCACTTTGTTCATTCATAACTTCCTTCGTCTCTATGTCCTCTTTCGTTTACTTTTCTTTCGTATCTCTCCCTCTTCTTTCAATTCTTTATGCTTTCTTTCGTCTATTTTTCTTCGTTTTTCGTCTCCTTTTCTCTACTTCTGTTTATTTTTTTTTTTTCTTTCTTTCTTTTCTTTCTTTTCCTTTTTTTTTCTTTCTTTCTTTTCTTTTCTTTCTTTCTTTCTACTTTTGTCTCTTTCCCTCTCTTTTGTCTCTTTTCATCTTTCATCTCTTTATGTCTTCTTATTCCTATTTTTCTTCTTTGTCTTTTTTGTTTTTCATTTTTTGTCTTTTTCTTCTCGTTTCTTATTCCTTTTTTTTCTTTCTTTTTCGTCTCGAACGTGTTGTTTTTCATTTTTTACTTTTTTCTTCTTTAAGTTTTTTTTTTCATTTTTTTTCTTTCTTTTTTTCTTCTTATTCGAAATCGGACGTGTTTTCTCAGCCCGCTCCATTTCCTAAAGTAGCAAAGTAGCATTTAGTAACCAAATAAATTTTTGTAAATTTACTAGGCCTCTATTTAAATCAATTCTACATTAAAGTCGTTTTTTTATTCCAAGCATAAAATATTTTTTAACCATTTTCAATTAATTTCTTCTTTGTAGGAAACCGCGATAGTCTATTCCCTGAACTGAACATAAAGAATCGATGACTCAAATTTGAATTTCACTACTACTGACGACATTAGACTTAAGCCACTAAAACAAAAAGAACGTAAAAATCCTATATATATGCTCCATTTTTATAATATATATATATATATATTATACATATATATATACATATATGTAGAATACATATAGATAATTTTATATATATATACAAATATTTATATATATATATATACATTTATATATCTGTATATATCCTATATATATATATTATATATATATATATATATTATACATTATATTATATATATATATATATATATATATATATAAAAATATATATATAATATATATATTTTTTGTATTTTTAGAATTCGATTTTCAATAATATCCATCTATGTTATTTCTCTTTTTAGTTGTGTCATTCTTTGAATAAAGTTGTGGCTGAACTTATTTATATCTATGTCATTTGATAAAGTGCCATGAATAAGGTTTATATATATATATATATATATATATATATATATATATATATATATAATTTTTTCATAAAAAATGACGACAGGCAATTACAACAATTAAGCTTTTTTATTTAATTTTCTTGTGCTCGAACAAGTCTTTTCTTTTTTTGGACACAGAGTGTGTAGAAACGGATCAATTGTTCTATAATTCCAAGCGCTTTTAGCCATTATCAAGGATGATTTTATTTTTGCTATTTAATTGGGTGTATGGATTGGGTGTATGTTTTTTAAGTAATAGGGATGTTTTATTTTCCGAACACCGTTAGCACATTGTGGCCGTGTTAGTAGCTTTTTAATAGAACACTTTTTCGAAAACAAGAGAAATTAAATAAGAATCTTAATCTTGTACCTTGTCTGTCAGAAACATATATAAATGAAGGATTGCTGCCTATACCTGCACACATATTTATATATATATATATATATATATTCTGCTCATATATCTAAGCTTACTATATATATATATATATATATATATATATATATATATATATATATATACTTCTGCTCATATATCTAAGCTTACTCGTGAATTATTTGAGCAAAAGAAGATTTATAGGTGAGAAGATAATGTAATGGCTACCATCAAGTCGACGTTGTTTCTTATCTTCATCAACGATTTTATCGATTTCATCCGTGCCCAACAATTCCATGCTGATGACAAAACTACTTACTCCTGTCTAATAGTAAATTTGATACGTCCGACAAATTAAAACTGGCAGCCGCTCTTTGAAAAATAATCCCCCATTAGTTGTTAACTGGGGCAAGAAATGACTTCTAAATTTGGACGCGTCTAAATCGAAACTACTATCTTTTAATAATCAGAGAGAACCATTTTTGACTTCCAACAGCATGACTGATCCTAAACATCATTTGAGAGGTTTGCTGCTAAGAATGTTCGGGGTTTTTTTTGGGTGGGGGGCGTGCCAGACAATTTTTCTAATTTGAATCTATCGAGCGCATTTATAAATCTATCATTCGACGGTGCATTGAATATTGCTGCCGTATCTGATCTTCTCCTCTTCCACCTACAATCTTCAAAAATGTGTCAATCGCTATCTTCTGTCTCCTTGAACCCAATTATTTTATTGTCCTTTCTCCTCACTGAAGTCATCTCATTCTCTTCCACTCCCAGTAACCCCCTGCGTCTTAGAGACATTATCGCTTTGCATTGGGTGCAGATATACAAATACAGATTTGTTCTATGTAAAAGCTTTCACTACAGAGACAAAAAAAAAAACTCACTTGTGTTTCGTACGAATCTACGATACGTCTCCACGAATCTTTGGGACGTGGCCTCACATCTCAATTTTCATAAGGTAGCATTTATATAGAATACAAATTTTATGGTAGCTAATTATGTACAATAATGGATCATGTGAAATACAGATGAACATTTCGAAAAATTGAAAATACTACGTGCGATGAATAAATTGTCGTCTAAATGACGCAAAAATGAAAGCCACACTGACATCTACTTTTAACAGTTACGTTCACCAAATTTACACAAAAATATCTTGAAATACTATAGAGTAAATTTATTCAATAAAATCGACATTGGTTTCAACCACAGCCTCCAGACGACTTCGGAATCTCCTGCAACTCTTCTGGGCAATCTTGTTTAAGTTGTCTTAATCCTTGCCTTCAGTTCATCTTTGGTGTTAAGAGTAGTTGGTGTCTCAATCAAATGCGTCACACACATAATAACCAAAGCGGTTACAAATCTGGGGAGTTAGGTGGCCAGATGTAAAGGCTGATGTGGTTGCAGAAATTGTCCGATAGCCATGACTGGATTCTCCTGCTTGTGTAGCATGGTGCAGAGCGCTGTTGCCAAACATAGGTTTTTTCCAGCAGCCACCCTGTTAACCGGGAGCAGCACCACTTCCTGAAGGCACTTGATGTAGGCCTCCGTGTTGAGTCTGAGGCCCACACCAACAAATCTAGGAGTTCTTTTTTTATCAGAACGACCTGAGTGACTTCGTAATCACTATTAGACTCATCCAACTCTTTCCAAATTCTCTGCACTGTCCTCAGATTGATACCCAAATGTTGGAATTGGAGGTTCCGGCGCGAATACCAAGCAGTACAGTATGCCGTTTCCAAATTTCTGGCAGTGTGAATTGTGTCATGGTGCTCTTATTCTCACAGACGGTACCCAACTGACCCTAAGTGAAGTCGACAAAATCAAAAACAAGCAACGCGCATGCGCGAAATTAAAAATATAAAATGGCGACGATTTACGCATCGGATCCTGTAAATACAATGTATCTAAGTACAAATTAGATACATAACTTAATAGATCATTCCATCATTAATAACTCAACAACTTTTTGCAGGCAGTTTTTTTAACATCAACTTGAAATTTTTCTTGATAAAAAGTTGAATAATTTAATACATTCAACATTATAAATAAAAATAGTGCATTTTATATAGTTTTTTTTTTTTTTTTTTTTTTTGTTTTTTTACAGGGTTAGCATGAACAAAGCAATAAAAAAAAGTCTCCAGACGTCAAAACCAGGGAAAAGTTTTCAGCCTTCAATAGTCGGTTGTGCTTATCTTAATTTGTAACGTATATAAATGTAGATAGAAGAAAAAATTAATAACGAGGATCATTTACCAGTTTATAAATAGTATAAATAAACAATCTAATAAATAATGTTTAATATTTTTGCTATAAAGAAGTAAATATGAAAACTATATTTTATTCATAAATTTATAAACATTTACTAAATTATTAAAATATATGGACCATCTATAAAGAAGTATTTATTTGCTATTTTATAAAGTTTGAATCTATTGGCAATTAGCTGATGTTTTGACAACCATTCTAATAAATAATAGTGTAAATAAACCATCCAATAAATAAATAAGGTAAATAAACCATCCAATAAATAATAGTGTAAATAAACCATCTAATAAATAAATAATGTAAATAAACCATCTAATAAAGTGTAAATGAACCATCTAATAACTAAATAAATAGTGTAAATAAACCATCTAATAAATAATAGTGTAAATAAACCATCTAATAAATAAATAGTGTAAATAAACCATCTAATAAATAAACAAATATATAATGTAAATAAACCATCTAATAAAGTGTAAATAAACCATCTAATAAATAAATAGTCTAAATAAACCATCTAATAAATAGTGTAAATAAGCCATCTAATAAATAAATACAAATAATAAATAAATAATAAATAAACCATCTAATAAATAAGAGTAAATAAACCATCTAATAGATAAATAGTTATAAATAAACCATCTAATAAATAAATATATAATAAATAAACCATCTAATAAATAGTAAACCATCTAAAAATAAATAGTCTAAATAAATAATCTAATAAATAGTGTAAATAAGCCATCTAATAAATAATGTAAATGAACCATCTAATAAAGTGTAAATAAACCATCTAATAAATAATAGTGTAAATAAGCCATCTCATAAATAAATGATGTAAATAAACCATCTAATAAAGTTTAAATGAACCATCTAATAAATAAATAGTGTAAATAAACCATCTAATAAATAAATGAATATATAATGTAAATATACCATCTAATAAAGTGTACATAAACCATCTAATAAATAAATAGTGTAAATAAACCATCTAATAAATAAACAAATATATAATGTAAATAAACCATCTAATAAAGTGTAAATAAACCATCTAATAAATAGTGTAAATAAGCCATCTAATAAATAAATAATGTAAATGAACCATCTAATAAAGTGTAAATAAACCATCTAATAAATAAATAGTGTAAATAAGCCATCTAATAAATCAATGATGTAAATAAACCATCTAATAAAGTTTAAATGAACCATCTAATAAATAAATAAATATATATATATATATATAATGTAAATAAACCATCTAATAAAGTGTAAAAAAACATAATAAATAAATAGTGTAAATAAACCATCTAATAAATAAATAGTGTAAATAAGCCATCTAATAAATCAATGATGTAAATAAACCATCTAATAAAGTGTAAATGAACCATCTAATAAATAAATAGTGTAAATAAACCATCTAATAAATAAATAGTTAAATTCTTTAATAGTTCTGCTTAGTTTACTTTGTAACGTATATAAATGTAGGTAGAAAAAACAAATGGTGATTAGATAGCGATGGTCACAAAGCACAGTCCAGGTTTGGGTTAAACCTCGGTTGAGGGATTCGGTGGTAGTACACACCGGCCCTGGACCTCAGTCTTTAGACTTTCGTTTTTATAATAGAGCCACACTTGGATGAACAACAATTTAAGCATGAGATCTCTTGTTCTCCTGTCCTGTACTCTACCGATTGATCAAATCCTCTGAATTCTTCCATCTCATTACTCTTTCCTTTTCTTTCTCTCTCTCCCTCTGTCTCTTTTGTACAGTCTTTTACGCACGATTTCACTTTCCAGCATTCTTTGCGGCTATCTTTACGGCGAAAAAGGTTAGAAAAAAAATAAGATACCTCCATAAAACGATTCGTAGAAAAGGCCCTCAGTTAATAAATAAACTAATAAAATAAAACCTTTTGCCCGCCTTTCTAGCTAGAGTTGAAGTATTCATTTATATTCCAAAGACGCCATTCCTTCCACACTACATCACCAAAGCCTCTAACACTAAAGGATTTGATATCTCGATCTGGTTGTTCGCTGTGGCCAACCAGCTTCTCCCCAAAGAAACGAGATTGTACGAGAAAGAATTACTCAACGAGATTTCCCAAGGGAGACCAACTCTATCGCTTGTTCAATACGATGCTACTCAGGAGAACAATAAAATACGAATGAAAGCTGAATATGCAGCAACTGTTAGATATTTTTCTTTACTTCCTTCGTGTATTTAATTGTGTATTTATTTCAAGCTTTTCTTTTACTGATGGCCACTTCTTCATTCATTCTGACTTAACACTTTTTTTCCTTCCTTCGACGCTTCTTCTTTTCCACAATCGTTCTCCTTTAAAATATTTTTTCTTTCTCTTTAGTCATTTATATTTCTATGATTTTTCTTCATCCGATTTTGTCGAGTTTTTTTTTTTAACTTATTTTGAAGTTTTCTTATATTTTTCCCGCGTTTTTTTTTTTTTTTTTTAATCTCGTTCCCCGTTTTTATAGCCATTTTCTTTACTGTATTCACTTTACCGGCAATCGTCAGTCTTTCCTTCTCGATTTGAATTCGTTTATCCTTCATTCTGCTTTGTATCTCGAACTGGCTTCACTTCTGGGTATTTAAACCAAAAGAGAATCTAGGATCGAAAATGTTGATTTTTATCGCCCGGTTCACACTCCTCCCTTGTCTTTTGACCTGGAATAGAGGCTTATCCTTTGTTCCCTGTTTAGGATTGGGTTTCCGGTTGCTTCTAAAGGCTTTTCATTCTCTTTCACTGACACTAGCCCCTTGCGTCTTAGTGGCACTTTCGCCTTGTTTGAAGTGAATTGATTAAAAAAAATTACGCTCTCCCTACGAGAAATATTGATGCTACACAATCTAAACTCTATTCTCTATTTGTAACAGTGGAATAGTTTTTAGACTATTCTCACGAACCATTGCTACGATATAGAAAGGTGCCCACACTTGAGGGTTTGTACTGTAATCTAAAAAACATATTAACAATGGGCGCCTACCGTGGTGTAATGCTAAGCAAGCTTGTCAGGCAGATTGCTTTGTGAGCTTGATCTTCACTAAGTGTTCCACTATTGTTTTTTTGGGGGTTTTTTGTGCTCAATCAATATATATTTAGTAAACAAGAGAGTACTCAGGGAGTGCATATCTCTGCCATCGTCACAAAGATAAATGAATATCAGTTCATAGGTAGATACGGTGCAGGAAAGTTAGTTGTAAGTTCAGTTTTTTTTTTCATAGACTTACGTATGACATATCTGTCAACTCAAAAATAAAACTGCAAATCTCTGCTCCCCGACCACAAACTGTTATTTCGACCCGGGTCCAAAAAGATTTCCCAAAATGGCATTGAAATTGGGAAATTTTGTAGAAGCAACTACGGGTGAATGAAAAACCTTTGTCCAATTTAATGGTAATCTGCTTTATAATTTAAGGATAACTAAAGCCCGACTATTTTCGCCTATCGTCCGGTTCACACTTCTCCCCGGTTTTTGAACAGGGGTAGAGGCTTATTCCTTGTTTCCTGTTTAGGACCCGATTTCCGGTTACTTCTAAAGACTACATCAACTCTATACTTCTAATGTCTCCGATTGAAATCTGAAACTGTTATTCACTGTTATATAGGAATAAAGTGTCGCTACCGATACTTGAGTTTGAACATAGATCGCCATTGAGCAAACACAGGCGATCCCATAATTGAGCTAAGTAGACCACGTGACCATAGAGGAATCGCATCAGTAGGAAATGTTCACTTGATCGCATTTCTGTTCAATCCTCTATACTATACGGATCATCATTTCTAGTCTATCTTCTATTACTATACGGACCGCTATTCTCTGCTCTATTCATTATACGATTTTTCTATTCGGATCAATATACGGATTACTATTCGAGCGAGTATTATCGAGCAAATACTATTAGTGCGAGTGATATTCGAAGGCGTCTGACACCAGCAATGTTCAACGGCGTTACTATAGTTGTATCTGCGATTACAAAGTCTCTACTACAATGAGCATTCCGAAAGTGACAACGAGTGTTCGTTGACATCACAAAATTCACTAATTAAACCATGACCATTTCAAGACTAGAGTTGGCCGTTGTTTTTTATGCATAGGCACAGGAACTCTACTTCTTCCCTTTCCTTGCACTAATACAACACCACACAGAAACCCTCTACCTTGAGAGACTCTTAGGCCTTACATTAACCGAACATTAGTAAAAAAAAAAAAATAGATATACAGGATGTCTATAAAGTCTCTTTACAATTTAAAAACTTTATTAAAAAAGCAAATGAACAGACAAATAGGTGGAAATTCTTACAAAATGAGTAAATATTGAAGTTTTTTTTTTAACTAATTTAATATACTTCTATATGGGCGCCATTAGTTGCAGGAAGAATATTAATACGGTACTCGCTTTCTTGCCACATTTGCTGTAGCATAACCTCATCAATGGCGACAATGGCATCAGTGATCTTTTGCTTTAGATAAGTGATGTCCCGTATCTTTGTTCTATACACGGTATCTTTAAAATATCCCCATAAAAAGAAGTCCAGGGATTTGATATCTGTTGAACGAGGCGGCCAGAAAATTGGACCATCTCTTCCACTGGTCTGGAAATGTTTTGATTTAGAAACCCAGAAACATGCAGTCTCCATTGTGGGAGTGCTGAAACTTGCTGGAAAATCGTGGTTGGTTGAAGGTCATCAAGTTAAGATGCTGCATCAGTTGTAATCATATCTATCTATCTATCCATCTTAGTTTCCTTATTAAACAGCGTGTCCATAAGACTTTTTTATGGGACACCCTTTATATATATATATATATATATATATATATATATATATATATATATATATAAGCAAATATATGGATATAGATCCGAAGATATAGATCTGAAGATGGTCTAAAATAGACCAGAAATGTCTGACGTTGACTTTATATTAACATTAATACAACATAATTGCATATTAAGATTTTTGTTTGTTTTTTCTATATTTTTTTTCTTCATATATATATATATATATATATATATATATATATATATATATATATATATATATACAGGTGTCCATAAAGTTCGTGTTCACTTTAAAATTTATAGCATTATTTGTATTTGCGATAAAATAATGTGTAAAAAATTTTATAAAGTTTAATGTACCTAGTTTCACGTATAGCTAAAATAACTAATGTGATTTCAGGCATTACTTAAATCAGATGGCAAATCGTTTTCCTTGAACTGCAAATCGTATTACCCTTTTATTTACTCTTATGATGGAACATGTGAAACTTAAATAAAATTTCAAAAATATTTATGGACACCCTATATATATATATATATATATATATATATATATATATATATATATATATATATATATAATAAAGTCATCTCACAAAATTTTTTAACTTATTTAATCCACCTATAGATGGGAACCATCAAGACGGTACTCGATTTCTTGCAATGTTCGCTGAAGCATAGCCTCATCAATGGTTTATCATTTGGCTCGAGTGCCTGTAAACGTTGTTAGAATTTTTGGGTACTATGTACTAGTGAGCCAGTCAAAATGAGTTGACTCATTTTATAGTTCACCAATAGAAGGGTTAACCAATCAGAAAACTCAAAATATTCAATCCGACGTGTATAAAGGCAGCCATTTTTTTTTTCTCCCAAAATATCTTCACTGCTAACCTGATATCGAAGACTTAATGAATTACTTAACAGTCGCTACTTTCTCCAAATCTTCACTGCCAACCTCTGATATCGAAGACTTAAAGAATTGCTTAACAGCTGCTACTTTCTCCGAATCTTCACTGCCAACCTCTGATATTGAAGACATTACGGACTTCACTGGATTCCAGATTCAGAGACTACGGCAAACATGGTTAACAAACATTACACTCTGCACTTTGTAAGCGTACAATCGCAAGTTCTTGCGTCGGACTTTTTGTACTGTTGAACGTGGCAGCTGTTACTTCCTAGCAGCTGGACATTGTAAGAGAACGATGTTTACCTCAGATGTTCTTGGTCGTCTCCTCCTTCCTTTATCCAACACTGTCTCCATAAATTTCTTGTGCCATGCACGAACTGACGGACGTGACGGTAGATCCCTTTCATACTTAGTTCTGTACTTTCGCTGAGTCTGTGTATCCAACTTTGTTTCAATAAACTACGACACACATTATGCCTTTTCTTGAGTGGCCATTTTAGGGGTTCATTTAACAGTACCTCTTTCATCAACAAGGTTACCTGAAATACACAAATGCAACGTGATTAAAAACATTGATAACTACTGAGCACACAGAACAAATCTGATAAAGATATCTCATCAATTGCTTTTGTAGTATATTTTTTAAATTGTAAAGAGATGTTATGGTCTGTTATATTTTACGGCATATCAACTTCAATGGGTTATTTAATGCCGATAAGGTTTTTATTACTCGTAATATTTTTTCCAAAAACGTATTGTTGGTGATATTTTTCCAAAAATATATTGCAAGTATTATTTTTTTTTCAAAAATGTATTGCTAGTATTAAAACCTATTTCTACACTTTCATAGTGTTTTGACCTCTTTTGGGGTGTTAACTATTTGCCCAAAACTGGGACCCTGACAGATGCTTCCTCCTGGGTCAAGGTGGATCCACCAGAAACACCATGCAAATTAAGAGGTGGTTCCATGTCCTCAAAAACCTCCTGATCGAATTAAGTACTGCTTCTTATCGTCAGATATCCCCACTCCAGTTTGTAGTTTAATATCTTACCCAGGACGCAATCGCATGTATATCCATATATATAACCTTTATATATATATACCCGCCAAAAAAGTTTGAGACTCAGGAATGTTGATTTCGTCAAATATTCAATGTTAAACCGTTTGCAAATTCCAAAAAAAAATTTTGATTTCACTGAAAACCCGCGATCCGTTTAGACCTGAAACCCTAAGTTTGTTTTGTTTTCTGTGATAGTGAGTTTCTGGTGGGTATTCACTAGGTCTATTCTATATATATATATATATATATATATATATATATATATATATATATATATATTTTCGAGGAAACTAATCACAAAGACAATTAATTTCTCGTCAAACTAGATACTTCATATTATTCGCCTTGGTGTCAAACGAATCTTAACTTTGTTCAGATAAAAAAGTATAATGCAATCAGTAAACTTTAGAGAACGAGCAAGCGGTTATGAGAGTTATATAGTAAACAAGAGAGGAGATAGCGATAGTAAAAAAAAGATTTAGGGGTGAAGAGAAAACAGATCTCTCAAAAGATTTTTCTCTGTTTCTCTCTCTCATTTTTATTTTTTATGCTGTCCTCTTTCTCTCCTTCACGTTCATATCTTTCTCCTGTCACCCTCTCACTATATCTTTCACGTTCTCCCATTCTCTCCTCCTCGCTCTCTTCTCACTTTCCTTCGCGCTCTCGTTTCTTGTCTCTCCCTCCTCCACGCTCTCCGCTCTTCTCTCGCTCCTTCATTACTTCGTCTCTCTTCTCTCTCTACTCCACGCTCTTGTCTCTCCTCAGTTTTCTCCTATCTTTTTCTCTCTTTTCCATGCTCCCCTTTCTCTCTTTCACATCCTCCTCCACTCTCTACCTCAGACTATCCTTCCTCTCATTCGCAATAGCGACTCTCTTCTGTCTCTCTCCTTCATGCTCTCGTCTCTCTACTCCCTCTCATCTACGCTATTCTCTCTTCTCTTTCACGCTCTCCTTCCTTCTTTGTCTCGTCCAAAGTCTCGGCTTTCCACTCTCTCTCTTCCTCTCCCACGTCACTCTCTCTCTTTCTCTCCCTCTCGCTAAAATCTCTCTTTCACGTTCTTCTCACTTTCTTTCTCCTATTTCTGTCTTTCACACTTTCTCCTCTCTCCTCCTCCACGCTCTCCTCTCTCTCTTTCTGATTTTTCTTTCTTCTCCTTGTTCTCCTCTTTCTCTCTCTCTCTCTTCTTCACGCTCTCCTTTCTCTCTCTCTCTCTCTTCTTCCCCATGCTCTCTCTCTCTCTCTCTCTCTTCTTCCTCTCCTTTCTCTCTCTCTCTTCTTCACTCTCTTCTCTCTCTCTCTCTTCTTCACTCTCTTCTCTCTCTCTCTCTTCTTCACTCTCTTCTCTCTCTCTCTCTTCTTCACTCTCTTCTCTCTCTCTCTCTTCTTCACTCTCTTCTCTCTCTCTCTTCTTCTTCTCTCTCTCTCTTCTTCACTCTCTTTCTCTCTCTCTCTTCTTCCTCTCCTTTCTCTCTCTCTCTCTCTTCTTCACGCTCTCCTTTCTCTCTCTCTCTCTCTTCTTCACGCTCTCCTTTCTCTCTCTCTCTTCTTCTTCACGCTCTCCTTTCTCTCTCTCTCTCATGCTCTCCTTTCTCTCTCTCTCTTCTTCACGCTCTCCTTTCTTTCTCTCTCTTCTTCACGCTCTCCTCTCTCTCTCACTCTTCTTCACGCACTCCTTTCTTTCTCTCTCTTCTTCACGCTCTACTATATCTCTCCTCTACGTTCTCTTCTCTTGTCCTTTGTTCTCTCTCCATTTTCTGTATTTTCTGTCCTTTCCTCTCTTATTCCAGATTTATTTTCCTTAGTAAATTCTTTTTATATATATATATATTTACTTGTCTCTGTTTAATTTGTTTTTTATTTTTAATTCGATTCTACTCTCTTCATCCGAAAAGGCCATCCCAAATAACGACTTTTATATCTACACTTCAATCCAAAGACCTAACGCCTAGGCACCCGCTTGCCTCACCCCTTCCTCCTTGCATTAGTCACGCTTATTGACCACTGAAGATGCCCCCACGGATTTAGTCGTAACGCCCATTCACATCACCTTATCTCCTGATGGCTTTTCTCTTGGAAACAAAACGTTTTACGACCGCTATTGATATCTTTATCATTTTGGTTTAAGTGGAAGGTTGCGGCTGAACCAGACATGAAACACGAAAAGCTGTCCACGCTTTTTTATTAGCTAAAAAAATATCACTTCGTACGAAATATTTTTGTTTTGTTTTTGTTTATTTTCATTTTTGTTTTTTAGGACGTATGCGAGAATGGATTGTTTTTCTGTACAGCCAGAAATAAGCTTTTTTTTTTTCTTTTTTTTTTTTTTAAATAGTCTTCATATTTCTATAGCTCCAGATCTCGAATATAAAACCGTAATGAAATTTTATTAAAATTAGTAAAGAGCCCAGTTTGCTATATAAATACATTGTAACTTGATCTCCCCACGGAAGCCAAAACGAAATCTACTCATACCACGTGATTCATTAAAATACGGAAAAAATGCGCTTGGCAGGACTCTGCTCGCGAGCAAAACAAGAACAAATGATCTACTGCTCTGGACATTTAGCCATGGAGCAACACGGGTTGGTCAACCAGCAAGGATTTGGGCTTCTTTTATTAGCGGTATATCAACACCTTATGGGTCATTTAATGTCGAAATTTAATTTTCTTGTGAGTATTAGTAATTTAATTTACAAAAGTTAATTGCTGACAATTTTTTCTCCCAAAAATGTATTGCTGGTATCTTTACTATGAAAATGTATTTTTATACATTCATAGTGTCTTGTCCCCAGTTTGGGGGTTCAACTATTTGCCTATAGTTGGAACCCTAACAGGTGATACATCCTGGCCAACCACCTACGTTGACCACCTATGTTATGACACAGAATGCCACCCTAATAACCTTTCAGCCTTGCTACAGGATGGTTGGCGTGACAGACTCGTATATGTCCCCGCTAGATGGACCGAATAAAAAAATAAATAATCTGAAGTTATTGGTTTTATATTTACTACAATCAATTAAGCATTCTGGATTAAGAATTTAAGAATTGATTGATTAATTTTTATGCGTTATCAACCGAGGCATATTTCAGTTTCTAGTTGATTGTTTACAGTAACCGATGTTTTAGATTTGAATAATTCACGTTGTATGAGATCATTTTTTAATCAATTCACCCCAAGCAAGCAGATAATGGCACTAAGACACAAGGGGATACTGGAAGGGAAAAAGAATGAAAAAAGACTTTAGAAAGAACCGGGAACACGATCCTAAACAGGAAAAAAGGATAAACCTTCAATCCTGTGGAAAAGGGAAATGCGGGTTCGATCCTGTTGGGAAGTAAGCTTCCAATAATGGAAGCCATTCAAGCATAATTTCCTATTTTGAAAAAAAAAATGTCTACTGAAACACGTGTTCCACTAAAATAACGTACAGAGTAATAACAAATTTATATATATATATATATATATATATATATATATATATATATATATGACAGAGAAGGAGAGAGGTGGGTAGGGAGAGAGAGAGAGACCTTGAGTAGTTTTTTCGTTACTTCTGGCATTTTAAGTTTGGTTTACAGATTCTGATATTTCTTTTCAAACGTCTTATATTATTAACTGCTATGGCCATCTCTCTCTCTCTCTCTCTCTCTCTCGCTCTCTCTCGCTCTTCTATCTATCTATCT